CATCCTTCGTCGTTCTAAAGAGAAAAGCCCTAGCTCTCTCAACCTTTCCTCATAAGACTTCCCTCCATTCCAGGCAACATCCTGGTAAAGAGATAGTAGGAACTGCAGATGCTGGAGAATCTGAGATGTACGGGAGTGGAATGCCTCATCCTGGGAGCAGATGTGGCGGAGGCGAAGGAATTGGGAATAGGGGATAGCATTTTTGCAGGAAGGTGGGTGGGAGGAGGAGTATTCTCTCAGTTGTCCTCGTTTTTCAAGGACCGTAACTTCCCCTCCTCGGTGGTCGAGAACGCCCTCAACCGTGTCTCCCACATCTCCCGCACCTCATCCCTCACACCCCGTCCACGCAATAAGAACCAAAAAAGAATCCCCCTCGTCCTCACGTATCACCCCACCAACCTCCGGATCCAACGCATCATCCTCCGACACTTCCGCCATCTGCAATCCGACCCCACCACCAAAGACATCTTTCCCTCCCCACCCTTATCTGCTTTCCGGAGGGACAACTCTCTCCGTGACTCCCTTGTCCGCTCCACACTCCCCTCCAGCTCCACCACACCCGGCACTTTTCCCTGCAACCGCAGGAAGTGCTACACCTGCCCCCATACCTCCTCCGTCACCCCCATCCCAGGCCCCAAGAAGACTTTCCACATCAAGCAGATGTTCACCTGCACATCTGCCAATGTGGTATACTGCATCTGTTGTACCCGGTGTGGCTTCCTCTACATCGGGGAAACCAAGCGGAGACTCGGGGACCGCTTTGCAGAACACCTATGCTCGGTTCGCAATAAACAACTGCACCTCCCAGTCGCGAACCATTTCAACTCCCCCTCCCATTCCTCAGACGACATGTCCATCCTGGGCCTCCTGCAGTGCCACAACGATGCCACCCGAAGGTTGCAGGAACAGCAACTCATATTCCGCTTGGGAACCCTGCAGCCCAATGGTATCAATGTGGATTTCACAAGTTTCAAAATCTCCCCTCCCCCCACCGCATCCCAAAACCAGTCCAACTCGTCCCTGCCTCCCTAACCTGTTCTTCCTCCCACCTATCCCCTCCTCCCACCTCAAGCCGCACCTCCAACTCCTACCGACCAACCTCATCCCGCCCCCTTGACCTGTCCGTCCTCCCTGGACTGACCTATCCCCTTCCTAACTCCCTACCTACACTCACCTTTACTGGCTCCATCCCCGCCTCTTCGACCTGTTTGTTTCCTCTCCACCTATCCTCTCCTCTATCCCTCTTCTATCCGCCTCCCACTCTCTCCCTATTTATTTCAGAACCCCCTTCCCCTCCCCCTTTTCTGATGAAGGGTCTAGGCCCGAAACGTCAGCCTCTCTGCTCCTATGATGCTGCTTGGCCTGCTGTGTTCATCCAGCCCTGCACCTTGTTGTCTAACATCCTGGTAAATCTCCTCTGCACCTTTTCCAATGCTTTTTCCACATCTTTCCTGTAATGAGGCGACTAGAACTGGACACAATACTCCAGTTGTGGCCAAACCAGGCTTTTGTACAGCTGGAGTATAACTTCACGGCTCTTGAACTCAATCCCTCTGTTAATGAAAGCTAACACACCATACACCTTCTTAACAACTCTATTCACTTGGGTGGTAGCTTTCAGGGAACTGTGGACATGAACCCCAAGATCTCTCTGCTCCTCCACACTGCCAAGAATCTCTCCGTTAACCCTGTATTCTGCTTTCAAGTTTGTCCTTCCAAAATGAATCACCTCACACTTTTCAGGGTTAAACTCCATCTGCCACTTCTCAGCCCAGCTCTGCATCCTATCAATGTCCCTTTATAACCTAGATTTAAATCTGGTTCGATATTGCATTTACTGTTCTATAATCTCTACAGAATCTAGTCACCCATTAAGTTAGGAACTAATTCCACTGAAGAACCCCAACTACTTTGAATAGAATCAATCAAGTGATTGTCTGATATGCTCTGAATCTCAATTCACCTGAATTTGTAAATCTGTGATTAACCAACAATGAAGTTGGTCTATCAGTTTGGTCTATCATGTCTGGTTAAGGTTGTCCACACAAATAGATCTCTACAGATTTCCTTGAATTCCATATGTAACCTTCACTGAATCCTTCTGTTTTCCTTCCTCTAAGTACGAGAATAAAGTCCCAGTAGTTCATTGTTGGCTAATTGGATTGCAGGATATTCACCCTGTGAATTGCTTACATCTCCTTCTACCTCATTCTCACTGTCTCTGTCATCCTGCATTACGTTTACCATCTGAAACACCTGCTCTTTCTGTTCTTCCTTACATTATAATAATGTTCATATAACATAGCTGACAACTCACTTCACTGACTTTCTTAAGTATTCTGTATGGACCACTGAATCTCACTTGCAGATGTTCAACTTACAAAAAAACTAACAGTTAGCCTCCCATTTGAAATGTTCTGTTTTCTGTACATTTGTCTATCATTCTTTATCTTCGCCTTTGAAATTTTTAAATGATTCTATGCTAGCTTCCATGGTCCTGTGAGTCTGTCTAGAAATGTGGGCACAAAATCCAACCATTATCTTGAGAGTCTGATGATATCTCTCTAAAGCTCCCAGAGTTTATGAATGAAACACTGTGGTCTTCAAATGGTTTATACCCAATTTATACATCTTTAAAAAGTTTAGATGTGAAGTTGGAACTTTGGTCCAACTGTATTTCTATTGGTAATCCATAACAAGTAAAATGTTAATTTTTACCACCACTAGTTACAATTGTCTTCAAAGGAAGAGCTTCTGGAATTTGAGTTGCTACATCAATAGTTGGAAGGATATATTGTGTCCAGCTTTAGTTTTTTGCTAATACACAGTAACACTCTAGCTGTTTTGTGAAGAGCTATTCAGGAAAGTGGATAAAGTTGCTGGTTTCATTCTATATTGCAGTTTTGCTGAGCTGACACATAGTTCAGTTCTGTAAAACACATCATATGTCCTTATGAAGACACATAGCCAATAAAAATGCCAATTTATCTTTGCATGAGTTTTGCATATTCCTATATGCCATGGGTATTTAATATGGTACCTGTAATATCTCTTTATAATATCTGGGCAGTATCACTACCTGATGAATAACCCATCCATTCTCTGTCTGCAAGTCTGTCAGGAGATCTCCACTTCCTTATCAAAACCTCATTTAAACACTGAACTCCAGAACTCCCTCAGCCTCAGCTTTAGTGTGGCTGCATTGTATGAACTTGTTTAATTTTAGATCTGCTTGTTGAATTTCAGTTAAAACAGACTAACTAAACATTAACATTGAATTATCACCATTTTTAAAGGGAGTTTGGCGACTCTAAAATTTGCTTGAGGTATTAGTTTGATGTTTGGTGATGGACTTTACTTTGGTCACCTCAAATGAAGGAAAAAAAGACATTGTATCTGTAACTGTTCTAGCTGCTAACCTCACTCAGGCTTTCTGTGATTAGGGCTGAAGTTACCAATTTCGCTTCTGCAGCCCCTAACCACAGGTAATTTTTGTACAACTCCAAACACTGTTCTAGACAATTTATCACATTCTAAATGCACTTTATACAAAGGAACCAGCGAATAGTCTCACTCGTTATGTTTATTAAAACTGACTTTAAATGCACTCTCTGTTACATGGTACTAAAAGTTCACTAGTGAACCTAAAAAGGAACAACACATTTTCATGTTCAAGCTCCTCTGGAGATAAGGGAGTGTTAAAGTGAATTAACAAGAAGTGTGATAACAAGGTGTAGAGCTGGATGAACACAGCAGGCCAAGCAGCATCAGAGGAGCAGGAAGGCTGATGTTTCGGGCCTAGACCCTTCTTCAGAAATGGTAGTGTGTTGAGATTGACTGACTGGGAGGAGGGAGATCATGATTCAGTGAGTTCTGACACTCCTATTTTATCCCTCCCACTGCCCTGCGTATGTAGATGTGTGAAAGCACAGAAGCATTTCTGAGTTGGTTTGAATAGTGCATTTAGTTAATGGAAGGCCTGATCTTCACCTGGTGAAGATTGACTTGTCCATCATGTGTGAGCTGACTGGTTGAAATTATGAATAAAATTATTCAAGGATTGCATTGCCAGGTGCTGGGAGCTACATTTAAAATAAATAAGTGGGTGCCCCATAATTGAGAACTTTCTAATTGCTGTGGTTGTTGGAACTGTTTTTGTTAAATTAAGTTTATAATGGTGGGAGATCACCAGGTGCAGTGTTCACAATTTAACATCTAGGTCCAAAGCTCAAGGGTTGAGTCCCACTCCAGGACTTGTTGGTCACAGAGTCATACAGCAAAGAAACAGATCTTTTGGTCCAATTTGTCCATGCCAACCAGGTTTCCCAAGCTAAACCAGTCCCATTTGCCTATTGGCTCCTACCCCTCTAAACCTTTCCTATTCACGTACCTGTCCAAATACCTTTTTAAATGTTGTAACTGCCCCTGCATCTACACCTTTCTCTGGCAGTGTGAAAAAGTTGACCCTCAGGTCCCCTTTTAAATCTTTCTCCTCTCACCTTAAAATTTACGCCGTCTAGTTTTGGATTCCCCACCCGAGGGAAAAGACCTTTGCTGTTCACCTTATCTATGCCTCTCATGATTCATCGAAGGTGCATCTGTAATATGTCCATGCAGGTTGGTTATCAGTCTGTAAGTCCGTCCAACACAACTAACTCTAGGAATTTACAGCAGGGTTGTTTCCTGGTCAGTCATCCTGCAGAAGGTAACAGTTAGGACTGCAGTACCCTACTGATGAGCCTGGAGCAATCCAACGGGAAGTCCTCGGCTCAACCCGCAGAAACAAAGAACAAGAGAAAAGACAGACAAACAGACCTAGTTGTTCTGTGACAGTGCTTTTCCAACCAAATTTATTTGTGTTTGAACAGCTGACTTTGTGGAAGATGATAAGGTGACAAGAGTTGCTGACAATTTTTCAGTGAAAGTGCTGCTCTGCTCAGGGGTTAGATGCTAATCTCCAGATTTTTCACAAAAGGAATAAATGATTTTTCTCTCATCAGTCTACAGGAATGAGAAACATGGAAACGTCAATTGTTACAAAGCTGTTTCAGGGCCAGCTGAGCTATGTCAAATTGTGTCTAAATTGTTACCACAAATCTAGCCAAACTGAGAATTTCCTGAGCCTGTCTCTGCCGATGCCTCCTGACAACAGATGCTCCATTCAGGTAAAAGAGTATCACCAGCTTGTTAAGAACATAAGAAATAGGAGTTGGCCACTCTGCCCATCAAACCTGGTCTGTTATTCAGTAATATTGCAGCTGATCTGAATATGGTATCAACTTCACTTAAAAATGTAAACAAAAAGAAGCCTTAGCTCCCTTTTCTTCAAAATACACAATAAGAATACTATCTCTTCCCTTTTCTTTGCTTTTTCTATGTGCTCTCCTGCAGATCTTTCCACACAGATTAAAGCTTCTCTATTTAATTTGAATGGCGACAATATCTCTGCTTCCAATGTTCTGACCCACAATGCCATTTGGGAGGGAGAAAGGAACCTTGGTTGGGCTGAGATGCTGTGTGTATGTACTTGAGGTCATATTATTAAAGGATACAGTTGGGAAGAGGTACACAAACTATTGACAAGGATGGCATCAGAAATTCGATGTTCTCTCAATTAGGGAAGAATGAACAAGCTCTGTTTTTAAGAAAATCTGTCATGGAACGTGGGCGTTGCTGACTGGGCCAGCATTTCTTGCCCATCCTTAGTTGCCCTTGAGAAGTTGGTGGTGAGCTGCCTTCTTGAACTGCTGTAGTCCTCCTGCTGTGAGTTGACCCACAATGCCATTAGGGAGGGAATTCCAGGATTTTGACCCAGCGATAGTGAAGGAATGGCGATATATTTCCAAGTCAGGATGGTGAGTGACTTGGAGGGGAATTACAGATGGTGCTATTCCCAAGTATTTGCTGCTCTTGTCCTTCCAAATGGAAGTGGTCCTTGATTTGGAAGGTGGTATCTAAGGATCTTTGGTGAATTTCTGCAATGCATCTTGTAGATAGTACACACTGCTGTTACCGGGCGTCGGTGGGGAGGGAGTTTATGCTTGTGGATGTGGTGTCAATCAAATTAGGCTACTTTGTCCTGGATGGTGTCAAGCTTCCTGAGTGGTGTTGAGTCTGCATTTTTCCAGGCAAGTGGGCAGTATTCCATCACACTCCTGACTTGTGTCTTGTAGATGGTGGACAGGCTTTGGGGAGTCAGGAGGGGAGTTACTCACTGCAGTATTCCCAGCTTCTGGCCTGCTCTTGTAGCTGCTGTGTTTATGTGGTAAGTCCATTTGAGTTTCTGGTCAATAGTAACCCCAGGATGTTGATAATGAGGGATTCAGTGATGGTATGACTGTCAAGGGGCAGTGCTTAGATTGTCTCTGTCTCTTATTGGTGATGGTCAAAGCCTGGCATTTGTGTGGTGTGAATGTTACGTGCCACTTGTCAGCCCGAGCCTGGGCATTGTCCAGATTTTGTTGCATTTGAACATAAACTGCTTCGGTATCTGAGGAGTCACGAATGTTGTCAAACATTATGCATTCATTGGTGAATGTCCTCACTTCTGACCTTATAATGGAGGGACCGTCATTCATGAAGCAACTGAAATTGGTTGGATCTAGGATACTACCATAAGGAAGTCCTGTAGAGATGTTGAGGAGCTGAGATAACTGACCTCCAACAACAATGACCATTTTCCTAAGTTCCAGGTAGGACTCAAACCAGTGGAGTGATTGCCCCCAGATCCGAATTGATTCCAGTTTTGCTGGGGCTCCTTGATGCCACACTCGGTCGAATGCAGCCTTGATGTCAAGGGCTGTCACTCTCACCTCACCTCTGCAATTCAGCTCCTTTGTCCATGTTTCTCCAACATCAGTGATAGTTTTGTTTTTGTGGAGCGTCTTCCTTTGGTGAATTGTTTAATTGTCCACCACCATTCATGACTGGATGTGGTAGGACTGCGAAGCTTTGATCTGATCTGTTGGTTGTGGAATTGTTTAGTTCTGTCTTTCATTGCTCCCAGGATGGTGATGGTAGAGCAGGGATAGGCCAGGCGTGAGTTCCAGATTGTAAGGAGAATTCTGTTGCTGGTGGCCCACAGTGCCTCAAGGATGTTTAGTTTTGCATAAGATGGAGATTATGTTCATTGTGAAGGCGGAGAGTATGTTCATTGTGAAGATGTGACTTCATCTCTGCAAAGACCTGGGTCACCTCTAAAAATAATACCATGATGCATCTGAGGCAGTTAGATTGTTGGGTTTAAGGTCTAGCAGTCATTTCTGTCTATTGGTTCCCTTACCACTTAGCACAGACCCAGGCCAGCAGCTAGGACACAACCAGCTTGATCAGTAGTGTTGTTGCTGACACGTTTTCAGTGGTGGACGTTATAGATCCCCACCCTCAGTGCTTTCTCCAAGTGATTCAACATTGTGAAGTACTGATTCATCAGCTGAGGGAGGATGGTATGTGGTAACCAGCAGGAGATTTCCTTCTCTATAGCCTGAAGCCATGAGACTTCATGGGGCCCAGAATCAATGTTTCCCTCCTGATACAGCCACCTCTGCTGGGTCTGTCCTGCTGGTGTGACAGGACATATCCAGGGATGGTGATGGTGATGGTGGTGTCTGGGACATTGTAAGGTATGATTCTGTCAGTCTGTGAGACAGCTCTCCCAGTGTTGGCACTGGTTTCCTGATGTTGGTAAAGAGTGATTTTCAGTGTTGACAGGGCTGCATTTGAGGTTGTTGTTTCTGCTGCCTAGGTTGATGCCAGGTGGTCTGTACAGTTTCATTCTACCATTTCATATTTCTCTTTACTAAATTCATGTCTGTTGTGTCCAGTAATTGCATTAGCCATATGTCATCATTCAATTTTTCTTGTCATCTGCAAATTTTCTTGATCCAATCCCACCCTTGGGGAAGCAAATTTTAAACTTTGCTTCAGCCTGAGAAATTATTTATCAGTCCTCTGTTTGCTGTCTTTCAGTCAACTTTTGTCTCTTTTATTTGCTGAAAAGTCTTTATCAAATGCCTTTTGGAAGTTAATATGTTCATATACTCCACATAACCTATATTACTCTCATCCATGCTCTCTTTTATCTTATCAATGAAACCTCATTAAAACTATTTAAACATTATATGCCTGTACAAATCTGTGCTGGATAATTAATCCACGCCTATCTAATATTTTGATTTTTATCATTTCCTAAAAGCTTTCCTATCACCAAAGTTAAAGTAACTGCCTGGGCACGGTACAAGGGTCTGCAGGAAGAGGAAGCCAAACACTTGTGGTTGTTTCTCCGCAGGGTTTTCCTGACAACGTGGGGCTGGTCCTGGGTAAAAGGGCAATCTCTCGCCCCCGCTTTGGATGTGAGGCCAGGAGCAGTTTCCAGTCTTTGATGCTTGCTTTATTTGGTGGTTGGTTACTGAGCCTGACTGAGGAATTGTGCAGATTATAATGTGTTTTCCTACTGCTTAATTTTCAAAACTTCAGTTTCTTCAAACAAGCTCCTACTCTTGTAAAACATGGCTGCTGTTTCTTAGGATTGCCTTCGATTATTCTTTAAAGAAGAAGTTCTCAGCTCCAGGGATCAACCTTTCTGTTCCTTTTGTGGAAGGAAGCAGGACCAGACAGAAAGTATCCAACTGCTGAAAGCACCTGATATTATTATCATACACCTGAAACGGTGAGTAAAGCTCATTTTTGGCATTCATCAGTCTAACCAGCAAGATCATTTTGAGAGGACTAATAAGACAAGGGAGTACACATTGAATGATAGAACCTTAGGAGGTGCAAAGGATCAGAGGGACCTTGGTGGGCGTGTCCGTAGATCCTTGAAGGCAGTAGGAAAGTTAGATAAGGTGGTGGAGAAGGTATATGGGATACTTGCCTTTATTACTCAAGGCATGAATACAACAGCAGGGAGATTATGATGGAATCCAAAAGGACTGCGGATGCAGAATACCTGAGGAAGTGTCACCCGACCTGAAACATTAACTCTGATTTTTTAAACTCACCGTTGCTGCCAGACCTGCTGAGCTTTTCCAGCAACTTCTGAGATTATGCAGGAGCTCTGTATAACATTAGTTAGGCCACAGCTGCAGTACTGCATTCAGTTCTGATCACCACACTATAAGAAGGATGTGATTGTACTAGCAATGGTGCAGAGGAGATTTACCAGGATGGTGCCTGGACTGGAACAATTCAGCTATGAAAGGGGCTAGAAAGGCTGGGGTTGTTTTACTTAGAGCAGAGAAGGCTGAAGGAGGAGCGGGGTCGGTTGGGGTGGGGGGTGGTTGGTGGTGGATCTGATTGAGGTGCACAAAGTTCTGAGGGGCATAGACTGATAGGGAGAAACCTGTCCTTTAGTAGAGGAGTCATTAACCAGGGAGCACAATTTGAAGGCAAGGAGCAGGAGGTTTACAGGGAATTTGAGGGAAAATGTTTTTACCCAGAGGGTGATGTGTATCTGGAACTTATTGCCTGAGGTAGTAGAGGCAGGAACACTCAAGACATTGAAGAACTATTCAGATGAACAAGGTTTACAGGCAAAATGTTGGAAAATGGGATTAGAATAGATGGCTGTTTGATGACTAGTCAAACATGATGAGCTGAAGGACCTCTTTCAGAGCTGTAAACGCTTTTTGACTCTATGATCCTTTAGAAAATAATCCTTCCTACAGTATTAGTTTGATTTTTAACTTTTATGCCCAATAGTTTTTTGGACTGTTTCCTGAGTGCAGCATTTATAACATGAAAATACCTGAACTATTAATTGTACTTGGCTAACAGAAATTTAACTGTCCCTGTGCCAGTAGGAATTGAAGGCTTAACTGTTCAGGATAAATGGGACTTGTTTTTGTTTAGGAAAAATTTGATTTTTAACAATTATTTCTAGCCAGCGTTAGTTGTCTTCTCTCATTGCTCAAGTTGAAGTTGAGCTGCTGTCTTCTTGAGCCATGAGCATGGATATTCCAGTCCTGCAGCAGGCTGCTTGCTCTTAGCTACCCGCTACTGTCAGTTTTGTTGCAGAGAAATTGCAATGTTGGCTGAGTGTGGTGAGATTGGACCTGATGTCAGTCCTGATGGGGAGGGGGCTTTGAGGCAGAAACCACTGCTGAGCAAACTGATTGTTGAAGTGCAAGATAATGAATTTGTTCTTCAGTGCTGAAGACAATCGGGATTGTGATGGTTACAGAGTTTAATAGTTTCTTAACACTCATTTTCTTTTACTGAAAGCTGACAAAAATTAGCTTGACTGAGGTGTGGGGGAGGAAGGGAGAATCCGTGCAACTCTACAGAATGGCAGCATCTATTAAAAAAATCATTCTATTTTGTTATTCTCTCTTTCAATGGGTAAAGTTAGTTACAAAAATATCAGCCAACTAGTTTGCTGATTACAGACAATATGCATCAGTTTGGAAGACGTTCTCTTTCCTATTAGCCTGCTTCACTTGGAAGGGAATTCCTGGCCTTTGCCTGGTCTGTTTCTACCAAATTGCTCACCTTTGTGAATCTGTTTGCAATATGAATATTAGAGTTCATCATAAATAATGGAATTAATCACCCAGAACATCCTCTCTCTCTCTCTCTTTACTAGCTTTGAGTCTGATGATCATGGCAATAGGAAACTGACCAGTACTGTGACCTTTCCACTTGAAGATCTAGATCTGTCCCAATATACAACAAATCCATCAACGCAACAACTGAAGTATCATCTTTATGCTGTTGTGGTAAGTAACTTTAATTGATCTTTTTCTGATGATTAGGCCTCACTTGTCCTTGCCAATCCAACTTATCTGTTTCAGGAATATTACCACTTCTACCAAGACAGGAGGCCACATAAAGTCAATAAAGACATCAATCCATCTCAGTATCTTCTCAAACATTGCCAGAACAAGATGTCCATGTCTTACAAACTATATTAAAAACTGCAGATATCTAAAAGTGATTACTGTACATACAAATTACAAACTGTCAAAACTGCTTTCGTATGACCATTTTAACAAAAGTTTAATTGTTGTTCAGAGGGTGGTTCTGGACCGGAAGGGTAGAGGTCACCCAGATCCCAAGGACAAAGGGAGATAAAAGGATGAAAGCATGCACTAGGAATTTGATGTTGCCATCAGGGGCTGGGCACCACAATACAGTTGTGCCATAACATCATGAAAGGAAGTCTTGTGGTGTGAAAGATGAGTAAAAAGGACTATTTCTTTGAGGCATTGGAATTGTTTTTGGAAACAAACTTTGTTTCTCACTATTGATTGTGTGACAGTAGTTTATTAAAAGCTTTCAGCAAACAACTATGCATTGTGCTCTGTGAGAAAGGAGTAACATACAAAAAGTACCACACAGTGAGTGACTGATTAGTGCTGTTGGTTGAGCAGGGAAGTGTTGTTTGGATACTTTTCTATAGGAATGTAAAAAGCAAGAGGCACAGTCAATGCTGGGAAATTGCACACAGCCGAGGAATTAGAGCCAGTGGGTACCAATTTGCCTGAGGCTGGAATATAGATGACGCAAACAGAAACTACATTTCTAAACAGCATATTAATTTGGCTCACAGTGTCCCAACAAGGTAATTGTATCTAGAGGTTTATTTTTAATAAAAGTTGTTATTTTTTCATCAAGGTCTCATTGATTTGATATTTGGACGCAGTTCAGGTGAATTTCCATTAACTTTGACTTTTTCTTTCAACAGAATCATACAGGCACCTTAGACAGTGGTCACTACACTGCATACTGCAAGAATCCAGTTACACAGAACTGGCATGAATTCAATGATGCAAAAGTGACCAGCATTTCTGAGCAGAAGATCCAGTCACCAGCTGCTTATGTTCTTTTCTATAATTGTGTCAATTTTCAGTGGGCGCAGTAATACTATCTCAGACAGACTACAACAATAAACTGTTTCCCTATAGTCCAGTTTTCATTCTGTACTTGCCTATGAGGGCAGCACGCTATATAAATTATGTAATTAATTCTTAACTTAAAGTCATGCTGTTATTTTATCTGTTATTGTTGAAATGGACTCGAGCCCATGGATTAAAGGTATTCCCTCTGCAAAAAGTCTTTGGTGCATTGTGTGATCAGCTGTATTTATTATTAAACAGCCTATTAGACTTAGAATTAGCCAAAAGCACAAAAGGTTGAATCAGGTCGGTCTACCCTAATTACCTCTGCAAAAGCTGACTAACAACTTACTGGCTATCTGCCCTGTGTCATTGTCATTGTTTTCACCACTTTAAAGCTGCATTAAGGATCAGAATTCTAGCTTATTTATTAAAAATTGAAACTAATTTTCTACTCGGCTTAAATTTAGAACAGAAATTTTAACTAGAAGCATGGCACGCCTGTGTGTTGCACAACCAGGGACGTGGCCATTTAGTTCAACAGATCCTGCAAAATTGCCACTGGTTTGACCAGTTTCAGCACCAGATTTTGCACTGCAGTGAATCCATGAGCTGAGCGTTACAGGGACATAACACTTTTATACATGGTCACCCCACAGCTGAAGGAAGTGCAGTCAGAGTCCCTCATACCCTCTAAGTGAAAGAAGAAAGGAAGCAGGCAGGTAGTCAGGCAAGTCCCAGGCTACGTCTCACTCAGGAATGGGATTTTGTGTTTTGGAAAACAGTGAGTGATAGTTTCTCTGGGGAATGTAGCTACAGAACAGCTACACAGCATTTATTTTTTTGGCTGAAAATCCTTGCTAGCAAAATCCTAGAGGTTACCATTGATAGCCACATAAACAGCACAGCTGCAAAGACATGTCCAGGTGTATAAAAGGCACAAGTCTGAAGAGACTATTCTCCACTGATGAATTAGTACCACAAACTATAGCAGGCCATCACCATCCAAGACAAAGCAATCTTTACCCCCATCAACACTTTAAAATGCAATGCCCTTTACTTACAGGCACAACTTATCTGCAGTGTGAACCAGTTGCAATGTGTCAAAGTTTTTTCAACAATACCTGCCAACCCTAAAGCCAGTCCTCTAGCTGGGCAAGGACAACAGGCATGAGAGGGGAGAAAAGAAACAAAAGGCAAGATAGCTTGGAATTTGATTTAACAAGACCAACACTTCTGCCAGGAAGGGGGAAACTGCAACTCAACAACGTGGGGGCCATTGCCTCATGGTATTATTGGTGAATTGTTAATCCAGAGACCCAGGTAATGTCCTGGGGACCTAGGTTTGAATCCTTCCACAGCATAGTGGAATTTGAATTCAATAAATATCTGGAATTAAGAATTTAATGATGACCATGAATCCACTGCTGATTGTCAGAAAATTCATCTGGTTCACTAATGTCCTTTAGGGAGGGAAACTGCCATCCTTGCCTGGTCTGACCTACATATGACTCCAGACCCAGAGCAATTTGGTTGACTCAACTGCCCTCTGGGCAATTAGGGATGGGTAATAAGTGCTGCCTAGGCAGCGATGGCGTCATCCCATGAATGAAGAAAGAAAAAAAAACGCAGCACTCTGGCTAAATGGACTATAGAATATTCACACAAGCCTGCAGTCTAATGCCAGCCAGGTCCTTAGCCTTCGTCCAGCACAGTACAACCCAAGAATAAAATCAAAAAACTAAAAGCAGATAATTCCTGCTAGTAAATGACCATTCACTGTATCAAGCTCCATCTACCAACTGACTAACTACCCACAGCCCACACACTTCAAATGTATAAATCATGGGCAACTTCATAGAAAAATGTAACTGGAGTGCAACAGCAATATGATTGGCACAGAGGGATAACAAACAGCAAATGGGTGCAAAAGGGTGAAAAAATGACATGGTGTTTAATATTGAGAAATGTGAAATAATACACAGCAGTTTGAAAAATAATGATCATCAAATAAAAGATGGGTCAGTAGACAAGTCAGGTTAAAAAGACCCCAAAGTTAATTAAAACATTAAATACTGTCACACTGTAACTGCATTCCAAAAGAAAATAAAATATGCAATAGATACAGAAATAGGTGGAGGAATGTTTGTCCGATAAATCAACCATATGACTGTGCATGAAACTTGTTACCATACAAACTGGAGATGAAAATAATTTTAAAAACACTTTAACATGTCATCTCAATTGTAATTATTTGTGAATGAGCCAAGTAATTCAGTTTCCACTTAACCTCTGTACTAAAATGAAAATGCACAATTCCATGCAAAGTGTTATTGAAAAAGCATATAAAAATATTTTACTTTCGCTTGTCAATCGCACAGGGCCACAGTTTCTCATGCAAGACTGGTTAAATATCAACAGAAGACAGTACGAGCTGTGAAATAAAATTTAGATCTGATCTTAAGTAATTTTTCCTTAGATACTTGGCCAGTTTCTTTCCCCATTTTGCATCCCCATGCGTGAGATATTTATTGTGGGACCACAGAGATTTGCAGGAATATTGACTACATTTATTGCAGTGCAAATTATCAAAAATATATCAGACTTTAACTGTGTGACAGCAGCACTTCACCAATAATATTAGTGTAGCAATACTACATTTAGCCATGGGTGAGGGGACAGTTTAAAAGAACATCTGTCATTCAATGAAACTAATGTAATGACGTTCTCCAAATTTTGCAAAAAAAAAGTGACTGATGTTTCCTCAGAGCAACAGACCTGATTACTTCTGCAATATTTCTAAATCGACATCCATGAAGGAGGAATTATAAAGTTAGTTTGGTGACTGAGTTTTCAGATTAAATGCCTGGCTTATTTAATTGAAATTAATTTTAGATTTCATTTTGCATCAGTGCATTTTATGGTGAAGTAGTTGTAAAGGAAATTAACATGTAAGAAAAGTTATTAAGCACACTGGAATTTCCAAACAGCAATTAAATTTCAGTTGCAAGTTACCAGCATCATGAAATTTTTGATGACAATCTGGGAGGAATACAACAAAATTCTTTTTATTCTTTGAAGGTAAATGTAGGTGACCCTACAAGGTGCACTGTGATGTAGCAGTGCCCTTGGTGAGAGAAACCCTGAGACGCATTGATCTAAAATAGCTTAGGACATAGATAAGGATTGCAAGATCACAGACAGTACTAAATCAATACAGTTTGAAACAACACTTTTGAGGTCTGGCCTAAGCTGACCTAAACAAATTACTGACGAAAATCATTTTTCAGTGATGTCCAAAAGTCGAAAGGTATGCTTTGAGTGCAATCGCTCACCTGCCTGAGTTTCTGCTTTCAGCTATTGTGATATAAAGCCAAAACCAGAGAACGGGAAATCAGGCAGGATTGATCCAAGAAACCAGAGAAGGACCTCCCATCCCTGACTGTTCCACCATTCAATCTGGCAATGGTTACTCTAAACTTCAGTTCCATGCACCTGATTTAGTTTTGTAATGCTTAATGCCCTTTACCAATCTCAACTTTACAACATTGGGCATGTTTTGTTTTAAATGGCTCCGAGCAACAAGTTCCAGTGTCCTTTGTGTGCAAAAGCACTTCTTGAAATCAGCCTTTATTCTGTACTCTCCCAATAGAGGAAATAATCATTGATTTGGTAAATGGCAATCCCTTAACATCTTAGAACACCTCAACTAGATTTTACATTAACCTTCTATGGAATACCAACCTATTCTATGCTAACAATCCTCAATCCTTCCAGATCAGTATATTTTAGTAAATCTGTAATGCACTGCATTCCCTCCAAGCCCAATATATTCTACCCAATATGCAGTACTTCAGCTGAGGTTTAACCAGAGCTCTGGGCACTGTACTCTAGCTCCCGTGATAGAAAAGGCCAACATTTCATTAGCTTTTCTGAACTTCTAAACCAAAGAACCCAAGAACTTCTACAAAGTCTTGGAAATCCTGTCAATGTTGAGCAATGAAAGACAGGCAAATATAGGGTAGAAATGAGCTCTCAATTTCTCCATACAAGCATCAAAGGCATTGCAAACAGCAAATGAATGAATGATTGATCAAACAAGTAGTTGTGCAGTTACACAGTAACTGCAGTTTAGAAACCCAAGATCAAGGATCACCCCATTAACAACATACTGTTCAGACCTAAACTGTTAAAGGAAAGTATATTTGATACATTTCATGCCTTTTGCAAAAGTCTGAAAATAATTAATTTGCAATATAACTTGAGATCAATCTGCTGTATCTTCATTTA